GAAGTCAGGAATATGACAGTTGTTGATTATTCGTTTGATGTGTTTCATCATTTGATTTTGCCATTTGATTAGGGACTTGCCGTTTTTAATTTTCCTCAGAGTTCAGTATTTTTGTGATTTTACTTTTTTCATGAGGTTCATTTTGAGTGAATTCTGGATTTTGTGGTTGTTCCGAAGGTTCATTTTGAAGGAATTTTGGGTCCTTAATGCTCTTCAACTTTATAATTGTTTGGCTTTCTAACTATTTTGATCTGAGCTTCTGGCGTATCAAATTATAAACGTGGTACCTTAAATAACCAATTTTAACTATTATTTTAAATTTTAGAATTGACACCAAATGAAGACTACCCAATGTACAAGGTCAAATGCATGAAGGGGGTAGAATCAAACCTATATGATTGGCCAGAAATAACTGACATGTGCAGTATAAAAGAGACAAAAATTCTAAATCTACTGGACCCTCCACTAAAAGTACAGAAAAGGAGGTCCATGAAAATGACTTTTCCAAACCTTTAAGATGATTGATTGATTGTTGGTTGCTTAACGTCCAGTGGCAAATATTTCATGCATATTCAGGACGAGAACAAGTTCACAATAAATACAATAGGTAGGTTCTGTAATAGATTAAGGGATTAAGGTCGGAGAAATTTAGACTGCCACGGGAAATGGGGGTATTTTGGATAGGGACAGAAATTTAGCCTTGCAACAGGTCACCTACGGACCCCTCAAAGAGTTGTTGCAAGGGTTCTTAACGTGCAAAGAGCGTGGCACTCTCTTTACACGAGGCATCGGATTTAACGTCCCCATTCTGACCGGACGTGGCTGCAAATTTGTACATCCCGCACAGCCAAACGGACGCCCCACTTTGACGAGGGTTTTACCGCCGGTCGGAGGAAGACCAATGGTGACCATACTTCTATTCCCCAGTCACCCTTGGGGGGAAACCTTTAAGAAGAGACTTTTTAAATTTGATATGTAATAAACAGTCGTTTAAGTAAAACAAGTATAATCCAATTTCCCTAGGGTTAAGATTATGTTCAAAGTAGGCAGTCGAAAGCAGTGGTTTGTGTAGACTTGTTTCACAAAGTTTGGGGCATTACTTAAACAAGTTATTGTTTCAAATTACCTTTTCAAGTTATGTTGAAAATAAGGTGCCTTTAAATACTACTTTTACTGGGTCGATGCCACTGCTGGTGGACGTTTCGTCTCCGAGGGTATCACCAGCCCAGTACGAAGTGTTGACTAAACACACGAATATCAATTATATGGTCATTTTCGTAAATTTCCTGTTTAGAAAAGTATGAATTTTTCAAAATACTATGGATTTTCTTATTCCAGGCATAGATAACCTTAGGCGTATTTTGCACAACTTTTTGGAATAATGGGTCTTAAATGCTCTTCAACTTTGTACTTGTTTGGCTTTATAACTATTGTGATCTGAGCGTCACTGATGAGTCTTATGTAGACGAAACGCGCATCCGGCGTATTAAATTATAATCCTGGTACCTTTGATAACTGTTATTGATATAATTGTTGAATATTAATAATTTCAAAGATGCATTAAAATAAATAAAATTGATAGTAACTGACTTTTCTGACTATGTTATAAGCCTGGTACCTTTAATGACTATGAAAGCGACCTTTTTAAATTCATAAAATAAATTAAATATTCTGTAGTTTATGGTTCTGTTAAAATGATCTCTTCTACGTTATTATATTTTCAGAAAGATAATAAACTAAATAAATAATTGTAAAATATAACTTGTTTCTCGTTATGCCGCGAGCATGCTGAGTGTATAAATGTTTTGGGTTGTTCATCAATACGATTTTTAAGCCCAACCTACGATAGTACTGTGTACTGTGGACACATTTTCTTGTTTTAGAAGTTTTTTTTATTGTTACTAAAAATCTCAGATGCTTGCTTATGATATGAATCTTTTTTTTTATATAGTGAAAAAAGGCTAAACAAAACCTGCCTTCAGCTAACTTTTGTCTTGCAAAAAATCTCACTACCTTGGAGATTTGGTTTATACAACTTTCAATAGTTATATACTTGAATGCTCCACCTACAAAATAGAGGGTCATTATGTTTTTTGGTCAATGATTTTGTGTGTCCTGTCCTGTCCCAGGTTGGAAAATTTGGCTAACGATATTGTCTATTGAAAATATGTTTAATCTGTTGCTGGTACAGTGTCAGTTTATTAAGTTTATTTAATGGTAAACTGTTTCCATCCGTTGGGCCAATACTGTCCAGTGAGTAGATGCTGTACAATGTATAAGTACAACACTCTGGGAGAACTCCATACTCACTGGCAGTGTCTTCATCAAACTAACAGGGAATTTTTCAAGTGTGGGAAATGCAGGAAAATGTTTGGCATAAAGTCTCGATGTATCCGTTACATTTCGTACCGTCATTGTGTAAATGAAGAATATCTGGAAAATTATGTGAAAATTAATATTACTCCAAATATCGATTATATAGAAACATAAGGAGCAATGCTGCCAAGATTAGGCACTCCAGAGTAAAATGCTGAAATCATTGAAGAAGAAAAAAGAATAGCTCAAAGGAAACGCGAAGAAGCTAGGGCTTCACCAGTTCACCTTCTTACTGAGCTGTTGGAGGTTGCTGAATTCATGGAAAGAGACAATTTTAAATTCCATTAAATTTATATTCTTTCTGAATGAACATTTGTTTAATTTGTTTATATATATGCATTTACAACTGTTGAATGTTCTGATTTATAGTTCATGACTTTAGTTAAACCTTTAAATTTCAAATTTGTGTAAGTTTTATCTTCTAGGTGCCTTTTAATAAGTTTAAAGTTTGATCGACTCCCCTCCAGGGAAGAAAATTCTGGTAGAAACACAGTGTGCAGCTGGGAACCCCACACGACCTGCATTTGATTCCCACTTTCATTTGGACCGGGGGTGGAGGCAGTGGAGGATGACAGGAAGGATGGACCGGCGACGGTTCATCGAGATGCGCCTTCCCACCCCCCAGAAACCCAGTAGACCTAGTGGGAGGTGTGATGGTCCATTGTGACTCAGGGACGTGGCCATCTGCATGGACATTGCGGGAAACCCCTAGGGGATCACCCTGGGTAACGGCCATAGGAGTTCATCCCAAAAAGGCCCATCAGCTGGACGACAGTTCATTCGGCAAAATGGAACAGCTGGTGGGGTTGCCTGGGGTGAGGGCAATAGAAGTTGGGCTGGACCAAAGCCAGCGGGACCCACCTCTTCAGAGGCAAGTAAGCACATTAAGGTGGGTCCTGAACCTGTGCGACGGAAGGCCAGAGGTCCCCTCATTCTGCACGTTAGAGGGGCTCCTGAGGATCGCCATAGTGCGGAGGCACACCCGAAAGTCCTTACCACAGTCCGGGAGCGGGTGGCCCCCATTGTTTCGATTGATTGATTGATTGTTGGTTGCTAAACGTCCAGTGGCAAATATTTCATGCATATTCAGGACGAGAACAAATTCACAATATATACAATAGGTAGGTTCTGTAATAGATTAAGGGATTAAGGTCGGAGAAATTTAGACTGCCACGGGAAATGAGGGTATATTGGATAGGGACAGAAATTTAGCCTTGCAACAGGTCACCTACGGACCCCTCAAAGAGTTGTTGCAAGGGTTCTTAACGTGCAAAGAGCGTGGCACTCTCTTTACACGAGGCATCGGATTTAACGTCCCCATTCTGACCGGACGTGGCTGCAAATTTGTACATCCCGCACAGCCAAACGGACGCCCCACTTTAGCACGGGTTTTACTGCCGGTCGGAGGAAGACCAATGGTGACCATACTTCTATTCCCCAGTCACCCTTGGGGGTCCCATTGTTTCGATGGGGGGATGCAGGAGGCACGGCGGTGGAGGGATGCGTTCCCAAATGTCTATTTTGGGTATACAGGGGAGGTCATTAGGTTCGACCAGGAACAAGGGCAAGCGGTGTCGTCCATCCCTCTGGAAAGGATCCTACTTGAGAGTGATGCCCCTATTTCAGGCCGTCATGGGTGCCCAATAACAGCCATGGGCATCCCCAGTATATTGCCGAGGTGGCAATGAGGCTGTTGGCATTTAGGTCAGGGAACACCCTTTGGGCATTGCTGGAGACCACCACCAGCAATGCACGGGCCCTGTATAGGGTTTAGGTAGGGAGAAAAAGAGGTGTAAATATGTGTACATAATTTTTTAAAATCTGTCCAGAGAGGAAGGTTATTATTAAGTTTATTTTCATTATTATTTTCTTGTCAAAACAAATAACCCACTAACCCCACATAATCAAGAGGGCATCACAGAGGGGTTGAGGGGCCTGTGATCGTTGCTAGAAGGGGTAAGGGGCTGGCTGTACATACAAATAGGGTCTACTTAATTTAGTGGACCCAAACAAATAGAAATAGTACTTTTATTTAATCTGGGCCCCTCTCATCTGAAGGGGCCCATCCGAAAAATTCACCCTTATTATTATCTCAATTTTAGACAATTTGGCAACCAATATAAAGCCGGGGGGAGTGTGGTATTCGTTGGTACTAAGCCAGACCCTGCCGGAAGTTGCAGCGATCCCATGATGCCTGCTCTTTCTTTCCGGTTAACCATATAGACGACAAGTCCAGATTTATCCTAAAGAGACAATCGCAGCCATCAAGAGCTAAGAAGCCAGTCAGCGTCTTGGGTTAGTGTTCAGATTTACTCGGGATCACAACAGTGGGAACAGGTCACGTGTAGGTTTTACTGACAGAACTTGTTTGATAATTGTTGCACCACATCTTCTAAATATTCAGCACCAGTCAGCAGTAATTCACAGTTGGAAATTGTTTTTTCCTTACCGTCTTTAAATTTCATCATTATACTTTTAGTGTTCGTCTGTAGATTAATGAAACCTTATGGAGCGTTTCTTTAGATTACGGTGTTTCGTTCAAAGTCAGCAAAACACCTGTAACTTGAAGGCGTATTTCGTTGTACACAGAGTGAAAAGATTTTTTACAAAGATTTGAATGCGTCACACAGGTGACAGAAAAAAAATATTATCATTGTAAGTACTTGAAGGTTTAAAACTATTTTTAGTATCATAACTAACAATTGTAAACTCTACATTTAGTTTAATTACCCTTTATGGAACAATCAATTTGTGGAACATTCGCTTTAATAATTGTTTACCCCTTTTCCTTAACAGATTTGTATACCACTTATACTGCTAGAAATTACAGGTAAATAAAAATGATTAAGTCGCTGTTAGTATTTTACATAGGAATGTAGGACAGAGAGTCACACAATAAGTCACCGACTGCAAGGGTTGTATAGACAGTCAAGGTGGTGAAAAACATCCACATATATATAAAAATAGTCACCAATAAAATGTAAAAATTCAGTTTTGAGATTTTTTTTTTGAACATGAAGATCTTATTTTTAAAATATGTATTGCCAAAATTCGGGGGACCTTCCCGGTGGTGATGTCGAGGGGTAGCTCGTGACCCGAGTCTATCCTTTTGTGTATAAAATAAGGGATTCTTGTGTTGCGTTCACCTTTCCCTCTGATTTTCTAAAATAAACACGAAGTCGTTTACAGTAATAACAGAATATACAGAATACACACTGCAGTACTATCAGAAAGGTAAACGGAAAAAGAGTTTCAGGAAAAAAAAGTCACGGTAAAAAGACACAGAATCCCCAGGAAAAAAGTCACAATATATTTTCGAGTAAAATTATTTATCAGAAGTATGTTGGAATACACATGAAATAGTCACTATGTACAGTACTACCTGTGACATTATCTGATTAATGGTGGCCATAAAAAATATGGTCACCATGATGGCCCTAAATGTCCCATCATTATACCCCCTGCTGCTTAATTAATACACAAGGTATTAATCAAAATCTAGTCAAGGATAAAGAGAAATCATAACTGCATTGAAGTGTTAAAATTACATAACTTTCAGGTAAAGTGTCTCAGGGAAAATATATGACTTTTTGTGTTTGTCAAATTTAATAACTGTGATTATGACAAGAAAATTCTAAAATAAAATAAAATAATAAAACTAGTTGAACATATAGCTTCCTAACTTCTTTTTTGTAAAAATTTTCTCATGTCTGTTTGCAAATGTTTGTTTTGATGTTATAACTTTTAAATAATTCTATCAATTTAAGTTATTTTTTACATGAATTTTTTGACAAGTGAATAATAAATGAATATCATCTTCTAATATAATGCAAACTTTCACAACGCCTGCCTTTCCCCATTGAAAAGGTGTTTCTCAAATTAATATTGTAAAATCAAAATTGTTTATACTTACTGCATTTAACATTGTTTAACAAATGTTTAAGATTATCTTTAGGACTTATTCTAAATAAAATTTAGGCAATTCATTATTTCTCTAATGAATAAATACATATATATTCAAAATATTCATTACAGAAAAATTTGATAATTTTTTTATTGTCATATAAACATATTACAATTTAATCAAGTTTCTGGCAAAAAAAACCAAAACAAACATTATAATGCAAAGAAATAACAATTCTATAAGAAATCAAAACACATGGAAAAAAGTTATTAGGTTTCTGCCCTCAGTTCTAATGACTTTCTTTGAATTATAAAGGAGCCAATATTTTAAACATGTCCCATGTTATAGAGGTTTAGCATTTCTTTTGCTTTTTGTTCTTGGTTAAGATTTTATTCATAAGATTCAAGATTTTATTCATAAACTGGTCAGAGACATTAATATGAAGGGTAAACAATTTTCAAATAGATTATCTCTAAGTTGTTATGGTTAATTTTACAAACAATTCTATCCTTTATAGGAATTTTTATTCACCATTTTCAATTTCTAAATTATGACCACTAATTCTTTACTTAGTGAAGCATTTGAGTTTACTGTTTTTATCATAAGTTTTTATTTTATTTTCAAAAATATTCTTTTTTTTTCTTCTTAAAATTCATTTTTAATCAAGGGCTTTAAAGAATCTAATTCATTCAAGCCTCTGCAATTATTAACTTTATCTAAAAAGCCTGAGTTGAATGAAATATTCTTTGCAAATGTATACCAAGAATATGTATCATGCATATGCCAGTCCTGCAGTTTCGACAATATAATACACAGAACAAAAAGTGATTTAATTAATAGACCATAAAAATGTCACAATCTATATAGAAGTGTACTTTATTTTTTCTGGAGACAAATTTTGCCTGTTAACTGACAAAATTAGCCAAACTGGAGATAACATATTTGATAAGTTTACTATTGTCTCAAAAAGCAAGACAATATTTTCTATGAATAATTTCTTTGTAAGTCTCTTTAGTGATTCTTCATGCAAAACTCGTTTTGAGATTTGAAAAATATCAAAGATAAACAAAAATAGTTTATTCTTATACCAGATAATGATATTTGTAGTTTTCCTGAATAATAATCATGATAATAGATTGTACAACTTTGTTAACAAAATTTATTGTAAAAGGATTGATATTCATGATATTGATAATTTAAATTTGTGAATAAACTGGCTTGTAAAATTACTTGCTTCATGGTTCCATTAAACATATCATTTGCATGATTATAAGTTATAATTAATAATAATTCATTTAATAATGCAAACAAACAATAGAATACCATGTACATCATGTACAATAACTTTTTTTTCACTGACAAAATAATTATTTAAAGGATTCTCTCTTTTGTTTTCAAATGCTAGTCAATAACTTATCTTTGAATTTTTGTCATTTCTAATCAAGATTCTTTCCAAGAAGAAATTAAAAGAATAAGAAAAAAAAAACAAATAAAAAATAATAATAACATAAAACAATAAAAATGTTAGAAGAAAGGGAAAATATGTAAATTTAAAGACAGAAAAATCAACAAATGATATGAATTAAACAAAGACTAAAACAAACATTCTATTCTACATTTTCAAGAAAAGGTGAAATGTCAATTTGAGAAGAAACCTGAGTTACATGTACCTGTACAGGTAACTTTTAATGAAACATACAAGCTGAAAACTTCAATGCTGATTGATTTCAACAGGTAACATAATTAGTGAAAACATCAACCTATGTTTTATGACCCCAATAAATGGCCAACATCTCAAGATTGAATACCCCAATAAATGGCCACCATTTGATGGTGACCATACAAGAGGGTGGACATAACTAAGAGGAAGTCACAGGTTGTACTGTTGTACATGCATGCAATAAATAATTAAACTGGAGTTTGTATTTGCATAGAAAAAAGTCATAATTTACTTGTATCAGATCAATTATCTTTTTTTTCAAAACTGACTTTTTAATAAACGGAAAGCTCATTATTCATAGGTATTTAAAGATGAAAGAAATAAGTTGAATGATTGATAATTGACACCTGACAAAAAAACACTAATTAGTTTGTAAAGCAATCAATTCCTTGCTTTTGACAAGTGAATTTGTGATTTTAAAGTAATTAATTAACATTGAGATTAAGTTAACAATATAATCATAAAACATAATGGTAGAATAAATTCCTTACAACATTTCTGTTATTTCTTTTACAGAGATGTATACTTCGAAATATAAAAGCCTGACCAAGAATAACAATCAACCTTGGCAAACTTTGTAAATCCATCTGGTATTCAGAAATATCAATTAAATGACCAAAAGCAAAACAACGCTATAGATCAACTTTTCGAGTATATTGCTAGAAGTGATTTACTCTCAATTTCAACAAAGTCGAAAGTTTAAGAACTTTATAGAAAATCTTAACCCAAAATTTCAAATTCCAAGCCGGAAACATCTCTCATCTAAATTGATATAGACTAAGGCCTAGGATGTATGTCAAAAATTGTATGCTAACCTTCAAGAAGCTAACCACATTTGTTTGACTGTTGACATTTGGTCTAATAGGGCAATGAAAGGATTTTTATAATACCTATTTAATAGTTACCAAGATTGCAGTATAAAATGTAGTATATATGTTTCTTTTGATAATAAAATTTATAAAATGCAATGTAATGCATTACTTAGGTAAAGCAATTGTAATTTAATGCATTACTTCCCAAAATACATGTAATTGTAATTGTAATATAATGCTGGCTTTATCCAAGTAATTGTCATGTAATGCATTACATTGCAATGTAATTCGCCCCATGCCTGGGAGCCAGCATATTTGAACTTTCTAAAATCGTTATGTATGATTTTCACTACAACGTAATGAAGTCGAGATATGGGAAAAATGTCAACATTCTCTTAACCGATACAGATTCTCTGATTTACGAAATTTTCACTGAAGATATTTATCAGGATATGATGACGTTTAAAGATTATTTTGATAATTCGGCATATGATGTAGAGAACAAACTCCATTCAACAGTTAGTAAACAAGTTGTTGGGAAAATGAAAGATGAATTATCTGGTAAGTGTTTTATTCAAATAGGCATACCCGCATATTTAATTTCAAACAATAAATATAAAAATACATGTAGAATTGTTTATGAAGCAATTTTCCATAAACACAGAGATATGAAAAATTACAGGGCATTGTGTGGTCTTCATATATGAGTAAAACCGTGTTGATTAATAAGTTATTAAAAGTTCTGATATAGCGGGATGTAACATATTTATGGAGCAATCGATTACAGTCACTTGAAAACAGTGTCCCAGATTTGTATATGTACATAGAGAATTTGGTGTGGTAAAAAGTCAAGTGAAAGTAATTTACCTGTACTTGTTTATACTTTAATTGTTTTCATACTGATTCGATGTTCTCACGGTCTAGAAAATGGTGATACATTTAATGTCAGAATAAAGTTTTAATACTCTAGCTTATTAACTAATTAAAACAAAATGGAGATCTGAACATGGGAAAAGGATATCCCTAGAAAGGCTTTTCTTATTTATAATAAATCATCATCATGTACGGAATAATTTACAGTTTAAAGTTCACCATCATATGATTTATCAAAACAGGCGCTCAACTGTTTGAGTTTCTTAACTTGAAATTATGTGGTATGGATATTTTATTAAAACATACTGACGGATTTTGTAATGTATTTTATGGTAAAAATGTCCATTCTTAATTTTGAACTCGGACTTCTCTTGAACTGTATTTTAATTGAATGCATTTTGCACCCGTCCTAAGTCAGGAACCTCTAACCTTTTTTTTTGGTCTTGTATGTAGGGTTGATGTCTCTTTGACACATTCCCCGTTTCCATTCTTTATTCTATTAATCCCTCATTTACTGGATAACACAATGTCAATTTGCGCAGAAAAAGAAAATCCTACACAAAACATATGAAAAGATTAAAAATTATCAAAATCGCACTATGTTGATATAAAACGAACAGAAAACCCACGTGGGATAACAGAACATGTAACAAAAAATACCTTAGCCATTGAAAGTCATTTATTGTTTTATAAATTTCATCATAGGATATAGTCATATATCACGAGTTGTCTCTCTCTAAACACAAACGATTGACTAACACAACAAATAACATAGTGTGACAAACAAACTCATTCCATATAATGAACAGATAAAAACAAACTGTCATTTTATGCAACAACCAAACTCTTGTGTTCAACGAGGGGTGGAGGCTAAATAATCCTGTTCATTGAGTTGTGGCTAATCTTACATGGTAGACAACTCTTTAATTATAATACCATTTGGAACCTAGATTTTGATAGATTCATCAAAGCCCCTAGAGAGGTCAAGATTTCCCGCGGATTATGACCATATGACAATGTCTGAAAAAATGACTGTCTCATATTTTCTGTGCTTATTAATCATATATTTCCAAAGTGCTTGTACAGTTCGATACGATATAACGGAAGTATGTGAAAAGGAATTTGACTTAAACTTAAGTTCATAGGGTATGTATGTTCTTTCCGAGAAGAGGGGACATACATTTTCAAGGATCAGGGGCACTCTGAGTCTGGTGATGCAACCATAAGCTTTGATATGATCAATATACAAACTTTTGTTTTAATTCAAACACCAATCAGAAAACTGGAAATTCGACGAAGGGTTATGGAACTGTGATCAAACATTTTACTACCAACAGAGGAATTCTTATAACTATTAACGGACAGGAATGTGTAAGTATGTCTCCCCACATAAACAAATTGTGCAAACACCCGAACGAAAGCGTGTTCCCTCCAAAAAAGAACGTTCAAATAATTTCTTTTCTTTTTCTAAATTTATGAACGGTAATTTGTTAGCTTTGAGATGTTTTAAAGCTTTACTATCCGTGCATGTCCCAAGTCAAGAGTCTATAATTTTAGGGAACTGATCGTTGGTTTTCTGTCATTTGAATTTTAACTGGTCTTTTTGGAGTCGTAAAGCTTTTATACTTTGCAGTGTGAGTCAAATTATTATGCTCTGTGTTGAAGTCCCATATTGTGACCTATAACTGTATAATTGCTTACATCAACAACATTATGTCTGGAGAGTTGTTTCATTAGCAATCATACCACAGCTTCTTGTGTTTAAAATCAGAGTAATAAACTGGTTTGCAATAGAAAAATTTTGACCTGAAATTTCTGTTTAAAAACTGTTCTTGTATGTTTTCTGTTCAATCTGAACTTGTTTGTGTTGTTTTCTGTTCACGCTGAAAAAAACATTTACTGACTACGTTGCATCACATTGATTTCAATTAAAAAACAAGAAAATATTTACTCTTTAATCTACATTTTCACCCCAAGGGTGACTGGGGAATAGAAGTATGGTCACCATTGGTCTTCCTCCGACCGGCAGTAAAACCCTTACTAAAGTGGGGCGTCCGTTTGGCTGTGCGGGGTGTACAAATTTGCAGCCACGTCCGGTCAGAATGGGGACGTTAAATCCGATGCCTCGTGTGAAGAGAGTGCCACGCTCTTTGCACGTTAAGAACCCTTGCAACAACTCTTTGAGGGGTCCGTAGGTGACCTGTTGCAAGGCTAAATTTCTGTCCCTATCCAATATACCCTCATTTCCCGTGGCAGTCCAAATTTTCCCGACCTTAATCCCGGACGCCCCTATTACAGAACCTACCTATTGTATTTATTGTTAATTTGTTCTCGTCCTGAATATGCATGAAATAATTGCCACTGGACGTTAAGCAACCAACAATCAAATCTACATTTTTCTCTCAAAATGATACATCAATTGGTATTAAAATATGTATTTAATAGTTTTCTAAAATTTTGAATGTTTATAATTGGCACTATTTTTCCTTTTGTCCTTCCTAGAGCTCGAACAGTCAAATGGTTTTCATATCTGAAAAAAAGTTATAGCAATTAATTACTGAATAAAAAATCTTCTCAAATACATTTTAATACCAAAAACAATTTGTATAAGAAAGAAAAATTGTTAAATGTATTTGTAGAGTTTAATAGAGGGTAATCCTCAATCTTTAGCCTGTTGCACAAATTGTCTTAAATGTGTAGGTGTGTATGCTCAAAATATTATCTCTAGTGCATGCTTTAGTATTTTTTTTAATATATTTTATACATCTTCATCAGTTCAAATATTTAACTAGAAAACATTTTTTTATCCTAACAGGCAACTGATCATGATGTATCCTCCATAACATCTACGGCAGACAAATTAACCATGATTCAAACTGCCACCCAAACCATGGGAACCATGACAGAAACAATGACCTTTACAGTAAGTACAATTTAAATCTTAGAACTATATTGTGTGTATAGAAACACACACACAAAGGAATGTTAATATTCACAATCATGGATATATAGTTACCAGTGATAAGATACATGTAGCAACCCTCAAATAACCTGAAAGTGTGATAGAAATGTTGTTTAAAATTCAGTTTTTTATATGCTGATCATTTTACGTAGCAAATAATTTTTTCTTCAACAAAACAGTGTAAATACTTTTTTCTTACAGGTATCTGAAGCACAGGTGTCTTCTCCAAAGGCAGCAGACAAGACTGCTACGTATACTTATGTGTAAGTAATAACGCAAATATGCGTACCTTAAATACCTTCTTCTGTTTGCTCATTTACATCTGTTACATCTGTTACTTGATCTACATGTACTTCTGTTACTAGCTCTGAATATGACGGTGGTGGATTCAGTATAGGAGAATTTGATCGTGATGAGGTACTTTGACTACCCAGAATATCTCCTTCATCAAAATGAATCTGTGATAGCTGAATTGTTCTGTTCACCTTCTCCCTACAATTATAAAATAATTACAATTCCATTATTTCTTTTTTTAAATTGTAAAATTCTTGAAAATGATGAAAGATTGGCATGGTTTTATTCAACTGTAAGCTTGATTATTGGTAAATATTTTTAAAATTACGTAGTGTGATCATAGAAATGTGTGAAAATGTCAAGCAAACATTTATTTGGTATACCTATTTGTTTAAAAAAAAACACTAGTTGCACACCATAACTTGATATTAAAATACAATTATTACATACATAAATGATCGTATTAAATGATAGCAATCCACCTTTTAAGGTTTCTAACAAACTTCATGATTAACAGGAAATAACTCATTTTTCCCCTTGTTTTTTTTTTTTTTTTCAGTCATTGCTATCGCCCTGATTGTCTGCTGTTACAGATGCTTTAAAGCCAGAGCCCGCAATTCATCAAAGAAAACAAACCTGTTTGAACTTTCATCTGACATACATTTTGAAGTACCTGAAGCCATTAAGATAGATTAATTTTTAGAATTTAATTTTTTGAATATTCCAACATTTTCTAAGTCATGTGGAAGTCATTATTCAGAATTTCAAATATATTGATTCTTACAGGTTACTTTCAGTATATGATTTTGCTGACTCTGCTTATATTACATCAACTGTTTCCAGAAAATGAATTTGTCATTCAATTAAACCAACTTGTAAGGCGTATACCAGCTATAGCTCGTGGCATTAACGGGAACAGACAAAGTAATCAACCAGAACCTCATAGTACGGCGGCTTTGTGAAAAATTGTGCACATCCTGCTACAAGCATGAAATTTGGCATAGACCTTCCTCAACTATTACTCTTTTATATCAGATAGGGAGGCATTTGAAAAAAAATTCTCACTTCAGGTAAAAATCCAAAATGGCGGACATTATACTTAAATCAGCCCAATATCGATGGCTAGTATGTGAAAAGGTGTTATTATCAAGCTACTATCATAATATTTGGTACAAACCTTTGTTATGTACTACTTTTGGATATATTTTATAGATTAGATGTCTTCAAAAACCCTATTACCGGTAAAATCGAACATGGCGGACATTGTACTAAAATAAGCTTATTTTTAGGGAGGGTAATTGAAATGTGTTTTAAAGTATTGCTTCTATCATTATATTGTGCAGGAACCTTTCTTTGGTGTTTCTCATGGATACAATTTATAGGACATATGTCTTTATAACCCTTACTTCCGGTGATATCCAATATGGCGGACATAGAAATATCAAATTTTTATTTTAATATTAAATATTTTTCAAAATGTAAAGAAAATGTTTTTTTTTGTGCTGGTCATTTAATTTTTGGCTTTAAGTTATCCTCAAAACCACTAATTCTATTCAACTGTAAATGTTTAAATACAAAGTTAACACTTCAGGTAAAAAAAACCCAATATGGCGTAAATTTCAAAGATGAGTCGTCAATCCATATCTTCGATGAAGAGTTTTGGATAGATTGATTAAAACAAAATAAAATCACTTAAGTACTAAAACATCTTTTGAATTACTAATTAATGGCCGCAAATACATGTTTATTCACAATCGGAGAGCTGATTTTCCACATTTACAAAGACCGTGATATTGTTTTTTACATCCAATGTACAAGCTCCTGATAAGATGAAGAGGCCTCACAAAGAGTTGTCCAAAAGGGTTCCCATGGATTATATTTTTCCCTTCGCCATTCATAAGCGTCTGGACTAGTTAGCATTGGAACCAATTCAAAGCTTGTTACTCATTCACACCCGCCATGGTATATTGCACGTTTTACATGCTGAAAAAGACTAGAACGAGTCGTGGGAACAGCCTCAATAAGTCTTTCCTCTTCCAAAAACACATGTTTTCTTGCTTCGTTAACCCCATCTGATAAATTTGTTCGATCTTACAACAAAACCACGTATCGTTTTATCAATGACATTATCACATCCATATCTGGTGATGTTGGCTGATCAATCATCATTCTAAATGATAAAGACACATCTTCAAACGCCATCCATGTCACCAACGCAGTTCCTTTTCCAGCAAACGTGTAATCTCTCAATGCCTAGTGCATTTGAAAGGTCATGAATAGATATATATCTTAAGCTTTTCCCACTTCCAAATGCAAGCCAAAGTTCGTCTGCTCCTATGTCACGGAATAGCGAAACAGCAATGACAACAACATCAGTATCGACTGTTCGAGTCATGACTCAGTTAAGTCTGTGTTTCACTGCATCAGACACATGCATCTTGATTCTAGTGTCAGCCTCTTCATGTGAACATGGTGCTAAACTTGAAACATCATCATGTGGTGGATAACACAGAACATCCTCAGCATTTGTTGCTACAACTACCTTTTCCTCAAAATCTATTGAGCAATCTGCTGTGAATGAAAACTAAAAAGTTCTTTCTTATTGTCGTCATCTCTCAGAAAACTTTGCCAATTTTGATGAATTTGTTTTGACCCTGGATTCGCCTGTGTATTCCCTTTCCCCTAAAAGAGGGACGAAAGATACCAGAGGGACAGTCAAACTCATAGATCGAAAACAAACTGACAACGTCATGGCCAAAAATAAAAAGACAAACAGACAAATAATAGTACAGATGACACAACATAGAAAACTAAAGACTAAGCAACACGAACCCAACAAAAACTGGGGGTGATCTCAGGTGCTCCGGAAGGGTAAGCAGATCCTGCTCCACATGTGGCACCCGTCGTGTTGCTTATGTTATTACAAATCCGGTAAATAGTCTAATTCGGTAAGTCACATTCGTGAAAAGGGAAGGGTATTGTAGTTACGACATAAGGAACATATCCGATATCATCTGTGAAACGGTTATTCCATAACGGTCAACAAACTCGTGATGGCGTCCGTAAAATTTACGGAGGGATGACTTCAACTTCACCATTTGGAACTCTTGGTTTAATAGCTTCCTTGTGAGCAGCAATCCTCTATCAAGGAAATCATGATAGGAAACACAAGCCCGGGAATATCGTATCAATTAGGAGATATATACTCCGTATGCAGGCGCTGCTGGAATGTTGCTACACAGAAATGGAAAGTTCACAATTGGGAAGCTGAAATCATCTCTTTTGTCGTAAAGTTTTGTTTTCAACCGACCCTCATTGTCAATTTCTAGATGTAAGTCAAGATATGAGGCAGACTTAACTGTATCTGTAGTATCCTTTATCTCTAGTTCGATGGGATAGATTCGTTCAACATAGTCACCAAATTTTGTATTATTTAGTGAGAGAACATCATCTATATAGCGGAACGTAGAGTTAAAGGATATTGCTAACTTCTTATCTCTCTTCCTAAGAAGCTCCTGTATGAAGTCAGCCTCATAATAATAAAGAAACAAGTCGGCAAGAAGAGGGCACAATTGGTTCCCATTGGAATTCCGACAGTCTGTTGAAAAACACGTCCTCCAAACGTAACAAATATGTTGTCAATCAAGAAATCAAGCATCTTGATGATGTCAGTTTCAGAGAATTTTTTGTTTGAATCAGAGTGATTCTTTACAAAGTAGGATTTTTCCCTCCCCAAGTCAAGATACTTGTATCTACGTTGGCCATTCTTTTTAATGAAACAAAGTAATACCAACTCTTTCAATTTGTCTTTTAGTTTGGAATGGGGAATACTTGTAAATAAATGTAGCTCTTGCTTCTTGTAGCAGCCTGTAAACTACCGGTATTGTCTATGTACGCATCCGAGACTACATCCACTGTTGTTACAGTTTCAAGGTGTTTCATAACGAGTATGCTGATAGGGTATTATGTCCTTACCTTAAAAAATACCTTAAAACTGTTACAGGAGTGGATGCGTATGGTAGTTGTAGCAACAAATGCTCAGGATATTCTATCTTATCCACCACGTGAAGTCTTTCAAGTTTAGCACCGTGTTCGCATTAAGAGGCTGACACTAGAATCATGGTGCATGTGTCTGATGCAGTGAAACACGAACTCAAACGAGTCATGATTCGAACAGTTGTTACTGATGATGCTGTCATTACTATTTCGCTATTCCGTGACATAGGGGTAGACGAACTATGGATTGTGTTTGGGAGGGCAAAAAGCTTTGGATAAATATCTATCAATGACCTTTTAAATGCACTAGGCAATGAGTGATCACACAGACTTATTGTGATCCATGCCTTAACCGGTTGTGATACGGTTCTATGTTCTGCGTGGGAGACATTGATGACATTTGAAGATGTGACTTTAACATAAGGAATGATGATTGATCAGCCTAAATCACCGGGGTTTAACTGTAAGATCGCACAAACTTATCAGATGTGGTTAACATGGTTAACGAAGCAAGAAAATAACTATTTGCGCAAAAGGGAAGGCTAATTGAGGCTATTCCCTCAACTTGGTCTAGTCTTTTCCAGCATGTTAAACGTGCAATATACTAAGTCAGGTGTTAAGGGGGACGAGCTTGGAATTGGCTCTTATGCTACCCAGTCCAGGCGCTAATGGATGGCGAAGGGACAAAGAGGATCACTTAAAAAAAACTCTTTCTGAGGCCTCATCATTTGTCAGAAGCTTGTACATTGTGGATGTAAGAAAGGATGCCGTGGTCGTTGTTAATGTGGAAAATCGGATCTCCCGTGCACTGCTTTGTGTGCATGTGGTGGTGACTGTGAATAAACATGTATTTTTGGCCAAATAGTAGTAATTTTAGAAATGTTTTAGTACTTTTATTAGTGATTTTATTTTGTTTCAATCAATCTATCCAAAACTCTACATCGAAGATATGGATTGAGGACTCATCTTTGATATTTTTGTACCGGAAGTGTTAACTTTGTATTTAAACATTTACAACAGAATAGAATTAGTGGTTTTGAGGATAACTTAAAGCCAAAAGTTTAAGGACCAGCACAAAAAAACATTTTCTTTACATTTTGAAAAAAGTTGAATATTAAAGTAAAAACTTGATATTTCTATGTCCGCCATTTTGGATATTACCGGAAGTAAGGGTTTTAAAGACATATGTCTTATACATTGTATCCATGAGAAGCACCAAAGAAAGCTTCCTGCACAATGTAATGATAGTAGGAATACGTTAAAACACATTTCAATCACCCTCCCTAAAAATAAGCTTATTTTAGTACAATGTCCGCCATGTTGGATTTTACCGGAAGTAGGGTTTTTGAAGACATCTAATCTATATAATATATCCAAAAGTAGTACATAACAAAGGTTTGTACCAAATATTATGATAGTAGCATGACAATAACACCTTTTCACATACTAGCCATCGATATTAGGCTGATTTAGGTATGATGTCCGCCATTTTGGATTTTACCGGAAGTGAGAATTTTTTATTTAAATGCCTCCCTATCTGATATAAAAGAGTTATATTTGAGGAAGGTCTATGCCAAATTTCATGCTTGTAGCAGGATGTGCACAATTCGTCTGAAATATGCTTGTAGCCGCTGCACTATCAGCACAATAACCAAGACGGACAAAATAATCAACAAAATACTATTAAAAATGTTAATCAACCTATCCCACCTCAGAGGTTAAGAAGATCTGATCGTATAAAACGACCAGTGCAAAGGTTGTCTTTGTAGAAGTTGTTTTAAATTTAAACAAAATTGAATGTTACCTTTCTTGTATGGTAAGTATTACCATCTCCAATATCTTCCTGCCTACGTCATCCTTCTTCACCCTCATTGCTTGGATTAATTCAAATAACCACACTAAAATATCACTTCTAGTAAAATATAGAAACATTACCCCCTGTTTCGGAGTTGAATGCACCAAAGTATGATACAATAAAGCCAAGTCTATATCATAATCTTCCAATCTATCTAAGCAAGATAGTATGGTTAAAACTTCAGTTTTACTCGTGTCGTCT